GATATGTTATGTAATCTATTAAATAACCTCATTAATCGATTATTGAGCAATTTTCCCCATAATCTATGAGATATATGATCCATAATTGATTATAGGCCGAACTATTGTTGTATAATCGATAAAGAAAATCAACTAGGCATTGGGAAAATCGATTTTAAGAAGGTTTTGAAAAAAAAGAAGATAAAGTTCTCTAAATCATTTAAAGAGAGTGTGTGAATTGTCTTAGTATTTTAAGAGCTACTTTTTTCTTAGCTACACACTAATGATCTAAATTATATAAAATAAAAAAATAAAGCACATGGTCACAAGATTTAAGTAAAATATGTTTTTCTTTTTTAGTGTTTTTTTATTGATATTATTTTAAGCAAAATGTTCATGATGCTATTATAATGAAGTGTTATTAGGAACGTGTTAAGTAATATATACCATATATATATACCATGAATCTCACATTATGTATCTTTGTTGTTTCAATTCTTGTCTTTAAAATTCTGGTATGATAGAACTTAGATGTTCTATGACATGTTGGGATATTTGATCTGACATAAATAAACAGGTAAGGTACAAACAATAAAAACAGTATTGAAAAGCAAAAACAACACACCAAAATTGTTAACCCAGTTCGGAGCAACTCTCATACTCTGGGGACATACCAAGCCAAGGACAAATCCACTATGATAGTATTAATTCAAAGCTAAACTCTCCCATTTACAACTTCTCACTTAATCACTACCCGTTCTATATTTCTATCTAAGACTCACCTAAATATGAGGCCCTCCTCAATCCCTCTTAAATCACAGACAGCGATTGGACACAAAATAATTCTGAATAACCAGGAAGACACACTTCCATGATAATCACTAGCCAAGACTCTTGACTAAGACTACAACTTGGAGTTTCTCCAAAGCTTCCTCCAAGAAAAATACTCAACTCATTACCTACAGGTTTTTGAGTGACAACATTGTGACCATCTCACAACCCGAGTGGTTCACTTACACCAACTCTCCTAGAGAGTGACTACAGACTCCATCCTAATGATTACATCTTTATAATTCTCAGTCGGTACATCTTTAGGTTACAAATTATTATATTTATAACTATTTACCCAATTGTATTTGGGCCTTCAAATAACAGCTCTTTGGCTGTTACAAATAGCATAACATTTTGCTATAAAATAGGTCTTTAATAAAATCTTCCTAAATTATCTCCGTATTTAGAAAGTCAATATTCTTCAATATTCCCACACTTCTTCACACATTTGACATTCTTCACTATATTCTTATCATAGAATCAATAATAGGACTTCTTCATGATAGTCCAAGGGTCTTCACATATTCTCTCCCCCTTTTTAGCCAGAATATGAAAAAGGCAGCAACGTCAGAATATTCTAGCTAACATCTATTCGTAATAGTTCTAAACATTCCCATTCCAGAATTAAAAGCTCATCCACCACAGACTGCTGCTTTTCATACTCGGCCGAACTAATCCACTATGGCCAACACCGAATGGTGTTAATTCCATAAACATTCCTCCCAGGATGAATTCACCCCCCCTCAATCCAGAAACATTCCTCACAAGGGGACAAAATACCTTCAGTTCTTTTGGGTTGTGTTCTTAACACAGATCACAAGTCACAAAAGACACGACTAGGAGACTCATAATATTTCCTTCAATATCCTTGTAAACCGGTTCTAATACAAATATCAAATTCAAAATATGAACAATCTTTTCCTTCTTTTTAGCCAAAAACTTAACAAACAAATCCCTCATACGTCCTGACCCAAAGAGAGCTTATCCACATCTGGATATATGCCATAAGGGTAGAAAAGGAATAACTACAAACTGAAGAAGGTGAATTAAATACATCCTTAAATAACCAAGTAGTTCTCATAGGAAATAACGATACTAGTCAAATAAGACATTATTTGAGGGAGACCACTGAATAGAGAATCACCGTCTGAGACTGTTTCTGACTGTCTTCATAATTCCAATAAAGCATACAACTGCACAAGACATACTTTATACATCCTCCTGACAATAGCATCTATAAAACTCCCTTGTTTGGCTCAACAAAAACATCTCCCCAAAAAAAATGTCCAGATAACCTGTCAGACATTGTCACTCAACCAAACTCTTCTTCACTAAAAAATCTTAGGATGTTTCCCACACATACTCATAATGCCTTCCACTAGACTCTAAACACACTCATTTCAGCCATCAGGAGTGATACAAAACATCACATATGACATCTCACATTCATCAATCAAGACATCCATTGAGTCCTTCTTCAATCTGCAGAGACAAATAAATTATCCCAAACACAACACATTCTCTCAGAGTCCAACATGAAACCACGTGATTCGACCAAATACGCCTTGTCAAACTCATAAATAACTACCTCTAGTAACCACATGTCATGACATGTTGTCTGACATCACAACCTTACAAGAGATACATAATCTCAACAAGTTTGAAACATATGCAAGCTTTGCAATAACTGCACCATTCTAGAAACAATCCAGAAACACTCATTTGACTCCCCCTTAATAGACATTCTGATCAGACCTCAGTATCTGATTGACTTCTTCTGCCCTTTTATTCACTAGCAATTGCTGATACTAGTGAATACTTCAAAAGGATAGTAGTCATGAATTACCATAACATACTACTATACACAAGATCTGAATCTATACACTCTAATCCTCAAAGTTAAACCTATCACTTTTGACAACCATGCTTGAGTATCTAACTCCATGTGCTCAAATCCAAGCATCTTCTAAAACACACCCCACCATGATGTTACAACATTATTTAGGACACCAATTCCATAACACATAACCCAAACACCATGGTTCTTGAACACACAATTCAAAGGACTTATTATGCATAGAAGTCCTTTAAGAAGCTCCCAACAAACACAAGATAGATCTAAAAAAATCATACCTTCTATAGCTCATTCAGATTATCACCAATACCTCAGATAAGTGCCCAGCTCCCGACAAGGTCTTTATCATTAGTAACATGCACATTTTCAAAAGATCAGACTTATACCCAGCTCCTGACAAGGTATTCATCAATAGAGGAAAACTTCCTCACACAAAGCTGTAGATGATACTCCCTTTCAATAGATATTAGAATATTTGATCTGACATCCTTCTTCTTCAACTATTAGAACAAGGTAATCCTTCACAATATTCCAGACTTGGTCAATGACTGGACTTCACATTCCATCATGGTCATTCATTCTTGTAGCGGTAGAAATGTTGAGATTAAGCAATTGGATTGACTTAACTCGCACAAATCATATAAAAATTTCCACTGCGCTTTATTGTTTCTAAAGGAATTGGAAAAGAGAAAATAACCCAAAAAAGAGGGGGAGAAAATCTAGGTACGGGGGTTGGTTATGCCAAGGGAAGGTATTAGCACCCTAAACATCTACAATAATCAACAAGAACCTCTTTTAAAATTTCTTTATTTTGGCTATAAGTGTTGCATACAAAAATAGATGGTGGAGGTGAGAAAAGAAGTATTTTTTACAATTTGCATCTGTCGCGGTTGTGAACCTTTAGTGCCTATGTACTGTTGTAACTGGTTCTTAAATAAGATTCGCCACCCTTAGTTTGTATCCTAAAGGAAGGAAGTATAAATGAATAACCCTAAAAAGTTCAGAGATTCTAGGCCTGACTCGATTCTAGATGAAGGGAATGTGTTAGACACCCCTCATCGACTTTGTTCATAAGGATACTAGGTTTATAAGCGCCTTTAAGAAAATATGGTTTTAAGTTTTATTAGGGGAGAAAAGGGTTTTAATTTTATATAGGGGAACTTGCCACGATTTTAGTCGTATGCCTACGTATCCTCTTATGAGGAATCAGAGTCCCAATTCATAGTTCCCAGTTTAGTTGGTGTTTTTTATAGGATTATGCATAATTGATTTCAAATTATCCTTGAACCTTGTCTAGATTGAAAATTGTGTGAGCGTAGACGTAGTTCGTAGTTAATTTTGAAAGAAATTCTCCTTAACCCTTTTTCAAAAGCATCTTGGTTTTGATTATGTTAGTAGAAAAATATTTTGATATTAATTAGGTGTATTAAGACGTGGAGCGGGAGAGTATGATATAGTCTCCTCATCACATTGCCAGATATTGGCCATGTGTCGCTCGCGGATGTAGTAATTTGGTGAGTTATGCAGATTTTAATTGTTTGATTTTTTTGAATAATTGACTGATAGACGATGTATCGACCAATCGCTTCTTCGAGGACATGGTGAATGAAAAAATCTACCAATCCCATTAAAAAGTGTTGAAATAATTTTTACTCGAGAAATATTTGAATATATACAAATTAAGAGGGATTCTAAATAAATAACCTAATTGGAATCTACTTTCCCTTCATCCTTTGTATTATTTAATTTTCCTTAAATAAATACTTAACAACCTTATAAAATTAAAACTATATTAAATAAATTAAACTAAATATTGAATACAATTAACCTAATTAAATTAATAAATGAAAACCTAAAGTAGAGGGTTTAAAAAAAAGTCTCTATAAGGATATGGCCCAATCGGCCAACCATAATAACCCTAATTTACTAAATGTAAAAAAAAAGTAACATAATAGAGAAATAAAAGAATAGATAACAAAATCCATCTCTCCTATCTCACCTTTGTCCTCTTTCTCTCTCTCTTTCTATTTCTCTTTCTCTCTCTCTCTCTCACGCTCTCTCTCGTGCATCTGCCTTTCTTCCTTGTTCTTCAAAAACCTTAAACAAAACTAACACCCGGTAACGACCTTCTTCTCTTCCTTACTCTCAATCGACTTCCTTGTGAAAAAAACAACAACTTCTTTCTCATCCATTTAACTGACCGAACCAATAACATAAATCTCCATCTGGTTTTGTATTGGTTCATCACTATCATCTATTTTCTCCTTCGAGTATCAATAACAACAATGCTAACTTCCTAATTTTTTTCTCAATCTCGTCGGAACGCAACAACAACATGCTTTCCCCTTCACATTCTCCGCGGCATCTCTCTGTTTTACCGCCTTATCCAACAATAATAACAACCTCTACCTCTGCACTTTCGGTTCAGATTCAACCGTGTGACAACACCAAACCTTCACTTTCTCCACTGAGGAACAATTTTTTTTCTTTTACTGTAATCTCCCGTCCCCTGCCTCTGTTCATCATTTTAGGTTTTATAGCATTAGATACATAGGTGTTTTTAGGGAAGAAGTTAATATGTATGTAAATATGTTGATTTTTATTGTATAGTTTTAATTCATTTCCTATTTTGGTCTGATTTTGTTCATGGATTAATTTTATTTCTGTTTATGTATTTGATTTTCAAGAAGATTCTGATTTATGTTTGATTAGTTTCTGTGAAAGGAATGAAAATGTATTCTTTGATTTCCAGTAATTATTAGTACAATTTAAACCTACGCTTATTTCCTTCATGATTCACACAATTTAGGGGTGTTCAAATCCAAATTAATCCAAATAAAAAATCGAAAACCGATCCAAAAAACCGAAAACCATAAAAAACCAAAAATTATTGGTTGTGTTTGAATGTTATTTTATGAAAACCGATCGGTTCGGATTGGATTTCGGATAAATTTTTCAAAACTGATCCAAACCAAACCGAACCGCATAAATATATTTTAATACTTATTTACTTTTTATTAGTATGACATCTTATGTGAATTTATTATTAGATGATAATAATTTTTTTAATAATATTTATTAGTTTGGTATAATCTACTTATTTTTATTATTTCAAGCATAATCAATCACTCTCATTTTATAATATTAACTTTTAATATACTATATGTTATATATTATATCAAATCTATGATTTATTAGTAGTTTTATAATATTAATAAAAATATAATGTGTAATTTGGATATCCAAAAACCGATCCAAATTAAACCCCATAAAATTGGATCGGATCAGATTGGATTTTTTTAAATATATCATCCAAAACCGAACCGAACATTAAGTAAATTAATCTTTGGATCGGATGAGTTTTTGCTTTAAAACTAATCCAAACCGAACCGCGAACACCCCTAGCACAATTTATGTTTTTTTTAGAAACAAGCATTTTTTCTTTCAATACAGGTTTATGTTAGAACAAAGTTTGAATCTACTACCCTAAGTTAAAGTTTTGATGATAACAAAATGCTAGATTAAATAAATTTTATAATTCATATGAGACATATATGCTACCTAAAAATTATATTGTGCATTTACAGAAACTCTGATGGATATCAGCATAAGAATGTCAACATCAGCATCAGAAGATGAAATATCATATGCCAGCATCAGAAGATGAAATATCATATGCCAGCATCAGAAGATCAAAGCATGTGCTTACGCTGAAGCTTGATGAACAGATCTGCGCGTAACATACTCTAAGCTCTGATCAAGACCAAAACAATATCATCAGCACCTAGAAGCGTCAGAATAAGCCAAAGCCAATCAACACGCTTAATTGACAACGGTACTGTGCATTCAAGACACTTTATTACCAACGGCTGTATTCCAAGACAAAGATCTTCTCAATATGGAAAGAACGTAATGGGCATTGAAATGGAATAATTGACTACAACGTATCTTTTCCAAGGCTATATAAACAAGTCAGTGAGAAATGAATTGGCTAATGCTCTACAACTCTTTACACGCCTAAAGCAAATCATCTTCATCCTCACTAGTACAGCTTGCTATATCTCTCAAATTGCTTACTCTATAGTTATAGCACCCTAGTTTCACATAAGCTTAATTTGTGTATTATCACAGTTGTGATATAAAGTTTTTGTAGAAAACATTCAACACATAGTATTCATTTATCTGTAAGAAAGAATTTCCTTGAGAAACCGGTCTGTGGTTTAGACTCAAGAAGGCTTTAACAGTTGTTAAAGCAGTTGTAATATTCAGTTGAATATAGTGGATTAAGACCTCGTTGGAGAGAGGCGAAATCACCTTGACGGGTGGACTGGAGTAGTTTGAGATCAAACGAACCAGGATAAAAATAACGTGTTGTTTGCATTTGATTTCAAGTTTTACAATTCAACCCCCCTTCTTGTGTTTTTCACTTCTTCAATTGGCATCAGAGTGCCTGGTTCTGAGCTAAAACACTTAACCGTGTCAGTACAAGATCCAGCGTCAAAAAAACACAATGGCAGGAACATATCAACACACCAGCAATGACAACAATGAAGATAGAGATAGATTCAGCGGCAAACCTCCAGTCTTTGATGGAGAGAATTTTGATTACTGGAAAGACAGAATTGAAAGCTTCTTTCTGGCACATGATGCTGATCTGTGGGACATGGTGACAGATGGATACACGCACCCAGTGAATGCAAGTGGTCAGAAGATTGACAAGAAGGCAATGTCTGATCAACAAAAGCGTGACTTCAAAAATCACCACAAGGCCAAAACTATTCTTCTCAGCGCCATCTCTTACACTGAATATGAAAAGATATCTAACAGAGACACTACAAAGAGTATGTTTGACTCTCTCAGAATGACGCATGAAGGCAACATTCAGGTCAAAGAAACTAAAGCTCTTGCGCTCATTCAGAAGTATGAGGCATTCAAAATGGAATAAAGTGAATCAATTGAAACGATGTTCTCAAGATTTCAAATTCTGGTGGCTGGTCTCAAAGTTCTGGACAAATGGTATTCTACTGCTGATCATGTCAAGAAGATCATCAGAAGCTTGCCAAAACAGTGGAGGCCAATGGTTACAGCGCTGAAGCTAGCTAAAGATCTCAACAAAATCTCTCTGGAGGAACTTATCAGCTCCCTCAAAAGTCACGAGATAGAGCTAGAAGCTGATGAACCTCAAAAGCAAGGTAAGCCTTTAGCTTTAAAATCTAACAGAAAATCTGACTCCAAAGTTTTGCAGGCTGTTGAAGAAACCTCTGATGGGTCCTCATCAGAAGAAGACGGACTTTCCCTCCTCTCCAGAAGAGTGAACCAACTATGGAAGCAGAGGCAAAGAAAGTTCAGGAATACCAGAAGATCCGATCAGAATGAGTCCTCCTCCAAATACAGAAGGTCAGACTCCTCCTCTGGATACAGAAGATCTGAAGGCTCTTCAGGAAGCAGAAAGCCAAACACCAAGGACATCATCTGCTATGAATGGAAAGAGCAAGGACACTACAAGAATGAATGTCCAAAGCTTCAGAGGGAAAAGCCCAAAAATAAGTTTGGAAGGGAAAAGAAGAAGAGTCTCATGGCTACATGGGATGACTCTGACTCGTCTGAAGCTGACTCAGAATCAGATGATGAGAAAGCAAACATAGCTCTCATGGCTAACATATCAGAAGGCAGTGAAGCTTCTGAATCAGACTCTGAATCAGACACCGAAGAGGCATATGTTCCAAAGCCTGGAACTTAAGCCTGGAGGCCACGTAGGCTTTGGAGGCAATCAGAGGGGAAAGATCATTGGCTCTGGAACAGTAGGTAATGGAAATCTTCCCTCTATATATAATGTTATATTAGTAGATGGATTAATGCATAATCTGTTATCCATAAGTCAACTAAGTGATAACGGTTATGACATAATCTTTAATCAAAAATCATGTAAAGCTGTTAGTCAGAAAGATGGGACTATCCTATTTAATGGAAAGAGGAAAAACAACATTTATAAAATCAAACTTTCTGAACTGAAAAGTCAGAATGTAAAGTGTCTTCTGTCTGTTAACAACGAGCAATGGATCTAGCACAGAAGATTAGGGCATGTTAGTATGAGAAGAATATCTCATATTAACAAACTCAATCTGGTCAGAGGACTTCCTAATCTGAAGTTCAATTCAGATGCTCTGTGTGAAGCATGTCAGAAAGGCAAGTTTGCAAAACCTGCTTTCAAATCTAAAAACGTTGTTTCCACCTCTAAGCCATTAGAACTTCTGCACATTGACTTATTTGGACCAGTTAAAACTGTTTCAGTCAGTGGCAAGAAGTACAGGTTAGTAATCATAGATGACTATAGCAGATGGACATGGGTAAAGTTCTTAAGACACAAGGACGAGTCACACTCTGTGTTTGTCACCTTCTGTAACCAAGTTCAGAATGAAAAGGATCTTAGAATCATTAAAGTCAGAAGTGATCATGGTGGAGAATTTGAAAACAAAGATTTTGAGTCATTCTTTAATGACAGAGGCATTCTGCATGATTTCTCTTGTCCTAGAACTCCCCAGCAAAATGGAGTTGTAGAACGAAAGAACCGAACATTGCAAGAAATGGCCAGAACCATGATCAATGAGACAAACGTTGCTAAGATCTTCTGGGCAGAGGCAATAAACACAGCGTGCTACATTCAAAATAGAATCTCCATAAGACCTATTCTGGAAAAGACTCCATATGAATTGTGGAAGAACAGAAAGCCCAACATTTCATATTTTCATCCATTTGGATGTACTTGTTTTATGTTAAACACAAAAAATTATTTGAACAAGTTTGACTCTAAAGCACAGAAGTGTATTATGTTAGGATACTCTGAACGCTCAAGAGGGTACAGAGTATACAATACAGAAACACAGATTGTGGAAGAATCAATCAGTGTTCGTTTTGATGATAAGCTTGACTCTGAAAAGTCAAAGCAGAATGAAGTCTTTGCAGGTATGGAAGTTGAATTCACAGGTTTTGAAGACAAGTCATCAGAAGCTCTCAACAAAGACACTCCTTCAACATCAGAAAGAGGCACTGCGAGCAATCCAGCAACATCTGTTGATCATCCTCAGAAAAGACTATCCAGAAGCAGCATGGATCACCCAGAAGAAACAATCTTAGGAAGAAAGGAAGATCCAATCAGAACAAGAGCCAGCTTCAGAAAGTCTGAAGAATCCCTCATGGGACTTGTTTCTCTGATTGAACCTTCTTCAATTGATGAAGCACTTCTGGACAACGACTGGATTCTAGCAATGCAAGAAGAGCTGAATCAATTCACCAGAAATGACGTGTGGGATCTAGTTCCCAGACCAAAAGGATTCAACGTCATTGGAACAAAATGGGTGTTCAGAAACAAACTGAACAAACAAGGTGAAGTCATCAGAAACAGGGCACGATTGGTAGCACAAGGTTTTAGTCAGCAAGAGGGGATAGACTATACAGAAACCTTTGCTCCAGTCGCCAGGTTAGAATCTATCAAACTTTTAATTTCTTTTGTTGTTAATAAAGGCATCACTCTATATCAGATGGATGTCAAGAGTG